TTTTATAAAAGCTCAATTCTTTGATTCAAGCTAAGAGAGAAAAGTCTGCATATATAAAAAGAGAAATAGCCTATATCCTATTTGTGTTACATTACATGAGTGGCTGTGTATCAAGACCCAGATAACACTTTTTGCTTCAAAAGAGATGATAAATGCTACAGAAACTTTTATCTCAAAGCCATCTGCAAAGACATGTCTTCATCCAAGAAATTGGGCTGATGTCAAGAGAAGTGTTGCAGCTGAGGAAAGACAGTGGTTTCAGGAATCTGCTGGGTCTCTGCTTAAGGCACTTTGCCCCATACTACATAGAATACAGAGGCACATCTTCTACCATGCAGGTTACATCAAGTACTATTTGGAACAATCTCACTGTTGGCTTAGTAGATTCTCGCCTTGGTCAAAAAGGCTTAGGCATGATCACAACACAAAATCTGAATAGCATTCAGGTCCCCCCGGTTTAACAGCTTTTTAAAAGCACTGCTGTCACAATCTGGTCAAGTGCAAACTGCCTCTAGGCCAGCCTTACATGACATGGAAACAGCATGAGTTGATAATTATGATTTACAGACATACCAAGGAATTGACATTGTGCCATGTTTATAGACTACAGTATATTTTTGCAAGCACATAGATGTTTTTTCCACATAAATCTCTGAGTCCACCTGGGCATGGTCCCCCTCACATACAGCCTGTCTTCAATTCCGGGAGGAAACTTGTCAGATAGTATTGGATTCTGATACAAGATGACAAGGTTCCTTAGATCATAGAATCACAAAGGCTGGGGGGGAAAAGAAAGAAAAAATTCTGCTAATACCTCACTACTCTTTCTGAGAAGAAATTTTTCCTAATATCCAACCAGAACCTCCCCTGGCACAACTTGACGCTATTACCTCTTCTCTTATCACTGTTATGATTATGTCAGGAATCACAACTCATTTGCATGACCTCTGCTTCCCTAGCCTTATTTCTGGAAGAGTTGGAGTAACAATGAATTCTGAATTTCCTATACGTATTCACTCATCACTCAGAGCTGAATACAGAGACTTCAGTCATTCCGGAATTTGTTGAATTCATCCTCTTCAATACAAATATTTGACATTATATGAAGCCAACTCTAAAAAAAATAAAAATGTGCATAAAACTAAGTGCTCCATAATTATAACCTCCCTTAATTAAATGCTGAGCACTGTTTCTTTCTGGGGTAGAGACAACAGGCAGAAGTAAGCTACCTTCACACCAGAGGGATGGTCACAGAACCTAACAGAGCTACTGTATCACACAGGTGTTTCTGGAACCTTTAAGAATCATAATACCTGACCACATAGGTGTGGGCAAGTTGCAGGTAAAAAAGTGACACCACAGGCTGCAGAAAAGATGCAAAAAATCCCTATTTGCAAACAAGGAAGAGAGAAGATCGCAGCACTGGCACTATGTTGTGTAAACTGAAAGTTGCTGAATACTGGACTGGGGTCAAAACATGACTGGTATCACAAGCAACTTTCAATCAGTCCAAATTATCATAAATCCATTCAGTTTAACTACAGAGGCTACCCAAAACTTTCACACTGTGCTTTTTCAAGAGAACAACTGAATCTAATTCTGTATGGAAAACTGCCTATAGTGAAAGGTGAGAAGGGCCCCATAAGTGAACGTAAAAAGGCAAGAAGGCTTCACAGTGACTGAAAATAAGGGGGGTGAAGGGGAATAGTTAGAAATAGTTTATAGAAGCAAGAATGTAGAAAAATAAGGGATGGCAGACACTGGGTCTGGGATAGTGACGGGGATGAAGGCCATAAAGATAAGGGTTTGAGAACAGCCCGAGGACGTTTGGCAGGGAGGTGATTAGATATCCACAGGGCAAGAAGAAACCAGTTTAAGGGTTTGTCCCCCCGAAAGGTCAGAAGTTTACAGCAAGAAAGGCCAGAAACCTTCGTGAGGAAGACTTCATCCTATGACCCACTACACATATGCAAGAGGGGAGGGTCTGCACGCTGATGAACTCTCAGGGGTGTAGTGAATATGTATCCAAATTCTGGGAAAGCTATTGATTATGTATTAGTTTGGCCTATATCTGTAGCACGACTTTTCCAGACGGTGTGCAAATTAGGAGCAACGATCCCCCTTGCACCCCATGTCTGTGCAGCACTGATTAAACCATACCTGCTTTGTAATCTTGCTTGGGTTACAGAATTTGATTTCGCACATCAGTAGGATGGTCATTCCTGAAGACAATGTAAAATCAATATTCAGAAAAGAATTTTTGAAATGAAGGAAGTAAAACAAACAGCTGCTGTTCAGTGACAGTTAAAGAATGTAAAGAAATTCTTACAGTAGAATCTAGAAGAAAATATACTTCAATGCTCACAAAAATTTGTCTAAAAACTAAAAAAGAGCTGCGGTTAAGCCTGAAATAGAAAAAAGTATGCCAGAAAATAAACAAACAGCAGCAGCAACAACATAAAACAAAAAACAGGGGATTGAGAAAGATAAGCAGGTAGTCTGACTTAAAAGTTCAGCCCACAAATATCTTTAAAAATCAAGAGAAAAGGAGCATAATAGCGAAGAAAAGGTAGGAAGCGAAGAACACTCTCTAGAAACTCATTATGGCTAAAGATCTGACATTGCCCATTTCATTTCTGAGGAATATGCGGAAAGGCCATCAAATTAAAACCCAAACCAATTAACTGGCACTTCCACAGATGCTTAGTACTGAGATGAAAACACTTCCAAATCGCTTTTGTGTATAGGGATGTTTCCGAGGTCTCAATCAAAGTGTGCAAAAACATGTGAAAGAGTCTAGTAATGCAAACACTTATCAGTGGAGATGTACTTGCTAAATGTCATACACACTCTTTTGAGGTCGTGAATAATAAAAAGACAGAATTATAAAACAAACGTTGACTCAGTTTCAGTGGAGTTTTTTCCAAATGGATAGATTTTTCTACCTTTGGAAATATGGTTACATTCACACGTATTCTAGGAGAAGGCCTCACTTTTTAGTGTGAACAAATATTGATCTGGATTGTATTTTTCAAATCCTATAACACAAAAATTCTACGAGAAAACAAGATATATTGATCTTTCTTTTCTTTTACTATTTGTAATCCTGATTATTTGGAACTTTCCTTTTATAGAATGATTGAATACGTAGAATTTTCTGTCTAATTTAGAAGGGTAAAAAAGAATGAAATATCACTTTCAATATTGAAAAGCCCTTAGCCATATCATAGACTGCACACGCTGCTTGCCAGTGGCAGTGTAAAAGAAGGTACATCTTCTTAGCAGTATCTGCTGTTGATACATGGCAACGGGGTAGTTTTGCTAGCTGCAGATTTGCAGGTTTGTAGATTTGGTAATGAACAGAAAAATAGAAGAGATTCTGGGACATAATGTTCTCTTCTAGTGCAGAGGGATAACAGGGATTATAAAACCCTGGTAGCAGGAGGTAGCCAACACCTGTTGGTGACAAGTCAACCACCATCTTTTCATGGGTGCAAAGTATAAAGTCTATGTTTAAAAAAAGCTACATAACTCCTTTTACATCATACTGTATCTGTAGAATAAAACTGTATGATTTCAGTGGATAAGATATGTCTCTACATATTAAAATCATATAATGCCTTTATACACGTCTTCTCCTGAATGTACACTCTCTTATGTGTAAAGAGCAAATAAAAAACACACTGCTTATGCAGGCAGAAAACAACACTCTACCTTACAGTAGTAGGGAAATAACTTACTAATGCCTAACTCACAAGTGGGTTTCCATGTATTAGTAAGCAATCGTCAGTGAATTGCTTTTTCAAGAACTAGCTGAATTTCCAACATCTTGAGCCCACATCAACTTTCAGTACTTAGGACATCTTTCAAAAGAATTCCACAGCTTAGCCAGCTAATACTTGGAGCCGTATTTCTGGCAATTTGATGTCTTTTTCCTACTTGCTTTGTGCAGCATTCTGGAAGAGACTGTGTTCAGTAGATCCCTTTCTGGGCCACCTGTAATTTCAGAGACCACATTTGTTTTTCTCCCTCAGTTGTTTCCTGACTGATCATGTGATCATCTGTCAGACAAAAGCTACCCTATACCAATTTGTTGCTTTTCTCTGAATCTTTTCCAGTTCTTTCATTTTTTTGTAGGAAAAAAAAAAAAAAAAAGAGAAAATGAAGTAATGAATACGTTCTAAATCTGACTTGCTTTAAAAGTAGCATCAAAATACCAAGGCATCAAATTTCTAGGATCGTAAATCCTTTAAGAAGCATACTGAGTCTCTCTTACGGTACTTGTCACCCAAATCAGACAGCATCCTCACAGAGCAGAGCTGCATGGACTGGTTTGGGAGCTCATAATGCAACAACGTACTTGTTATGACATCATCTACGAGCAACCAGCATCAGATAGGAAAGGACACAGAGTGTACGGGAACTGCTGAATCATGGCCTGAACCTCTGATTGACCACCTGAGCTGAGCAATGAGGCAGCTCTGGGACCACAGATGAAGGCAATTCTCCATGCTACCAGAAGGGGTGGAGCCTTGCTCCACCTCTCTGACTACCACGGGGAAAAAGATCTCTTGGAGATTACGCCTCTTGGAGTCTTTTAAGTTAGCCCAAGACAAGGGTAAGCTTTCCATCCATTCTTCTTTAGCATAATAACCTGTTTAGCCTAACTTTCTTGTATATGCCTTAATTATAACATCCATATATTCATTGATTATACACAGAGAGACACTATAGATTGCCTTATGATTCAGTGAATATTGAACAATTCCTCCTCAGCACCCCACAGGTAGATATGTGCCTACAGAATTAACAATGATCCCCTGCAAAGAGATTAATTCTACTTTAATAAAACCAAGGAGACAGTTTTCTAAAAGATTCAGGACAAGACAGTATTATCAGTTCTCAGTGAGATATGAGTTTCTAAGTTCTATCAACTCTGCTCCATAATTCTTCAAAGCAACTTGTTTAACAGTGCCACATATCCCAAAGCATGTGCCTACCTTACTGCTCAGCCATTGGGTATATCTCAGTTGCCAAAGACCACAGTACCACAGAAGAGGCAAAACTGCCTTTCCACTCCCTGCCCTGCACCCAGCTGTTCCATGCTTCCCTTCTGATTTTCACAGCAGAGTTTTCTTTCCACTGGCTGATGCTGTTGCTGGGATGGGCTTGCTCTGTAAAACAAACTTTAAACAACCCACACATAGTAATGGTAAGATCAAGAGAATGGACAATGTGATTCTAGTCCCTGACGTGCCCACAGGAGGCTTTGGCTCTGTTTCAAAACCTCACTCCTCCCTCCCCACCCCCGACTTCTCCCCTGCTGTTGGGGAACATTAATTTGTAATAAGCGTTCTCAGAATTGGTGATCCACCTTCTCTCTCCAAATGTGAATGTGTCTTTTGTGCAGTAATTTCAATTACTTTAAGACGAGTGAGCTTGCACAGCAATTCCTCTCCCAGATCCGGTTCCTCATTGCATATGGACTTTTCCCTTGTCCACGTTCCTTGAAATGGAAACTATTCTCAAAGAAAAAGCTCAGCTATTTTAGAAGAAAAAAGGAGAAAAATAAAAGCTCCCAAATGCTACACTGAGATGCAAAACAGCCCGCTGTGCATTACTACATAGAGATGAGGCATTGTGAGGAAATAATCATGTCTTGTATCTGCATAAGATGACTATTCAAATGTAAGTTGTACTAGTAATTAAGATAGCAATTGTGATTTTCTGTATTTTGAAGTTCCCTATAATAAAGGATAAAGCTTTCTTCAGCTCACATTTCCCGAGGCAAAAGCTATACGAAATACACACACACAAAAAAAAGACACTGTCTTTAATTAGAAAGAAATTTCTATAAGATAATGATAGTGCAAGAAAGACCAAAAAGCCACTGAGGCAGAGAAAATTAAATCTCTCCTTTAAGACTCATCATTACATCAAGTCTGCCTTTGATGGTAAGTAGCCCTTTTTCTATGTGGCAGCCCACTCGTAGGTATAGAGCAATGAATAATAATGTAATGGTGTGAAGGAAAATGCTATTCAAACCATTCAGACTTCACAAACCTGGAGGTAGAACTGCGTTCTAGAATGTCATATGATGACACTGCAAGAATCTTTTCCAGCAACCCTGTGCAGAATCACACAGTGGGATGTGGCAGGTGATATTGATAACAGCATTGTAGCTGTAAGACCAGCCATGTCAGTGCCCTTGTATGTGTCTATAGGACACATGTTCAACTTTACTACTGGTGCAAAGGGGAAAGTGACAACTCTGTTCATCAGCTTGGACAGAAACCCCAGTCCCTGGGCACCAGTATCTGTGCAGGGGGATAATGGGCTGGTGCGACTGGAGTGGTAGCCTCCCCTCATCTTCATTCAACAAAGATTGAAATTTTCAGGCTTAAAAGCTTGTATACCATCCAGACACAGAAATTAAAATCTCATTTTATATATATACCATATCTACTGACATGTCTCCATTAGTACAGATTTTTCCAAACAGAAAGCATTAATACTAACTTATGAATCTTAGTTAGGAATCACTTCAAGATGCGCGTTTACTCCCACAAGCTCTAAATGTGCTTTAGAGAAACCCAAGGGAGTTAATTACACAGATTTTAGTGAACTAGGATGAGCTGGTACAAGTCACAAAATTTACTAGGTATTCCAACACACAAGGTGTGGTAAATTGGCAAATCTTAACTTACAAAAGTGAGCAACAAGTCTAAAACTGTAACTATGAATATTAATACTTCAAGTGTGTTAGGCTATGAATAAAAAAATCCACACAAGCTTGATTTCTCATTGGACCTGAAGCCTGCAAATATCTCTGTTAGATCCACTAGTGACTCTGCTTTCCTTCAGCAAGAAATAGAACAGGGAGAGAGGTGGAAAATAAGTGGAAAAAATAAGGGACAAATATTAATACTTAAAGGTTTCATTCTGTATTATAAAATGTCTTAATTGTCCAAGTATGTTTTTCATGGGCATGGCTGGTTAGATAGTGTCACAAAAGTGACTTGGAGGTAAAAACAGGGCCAGGGCAGATGTACAATATTTGAGATTAGTCATGACCATGAGAACCCTCCTCCATTCGGGAAATGAGAGGGAGAGAGCCCCCCTCATTAAAATTTGCAGTAGCTTATATAGAGTTTCCAATGAAATGCTATGCAGACGAATCCAATCTTATTTTTATAACAGCCTTGACTGTGCAAATCATCTCATTTCCATGCAGAGCAGACAGATAAGCAGTGAAGGCAATCCTTCTGGAAAAGCAGCAACAGTAAGGATGTAAGGTTCCCTATGCGCCATTTTGTTAAAGAGAGGTGATTAAGTAATTCCCTGACTCAGCCTAAATTCAGCATGACTTATTTCTAGAGCCAAGAATGATGAGAAACTGTTAAAAATAATAAAAAATAAAAGAGCCAACCCATCTTACAAGTGGCATTACAGTTGTTAAATGGGCCCTAGGTTATTTTACCAGACTGTGGATTATTTCAAGCAGGGTAATAAAAATAAAGATGACAGAAATAAACAAGTAAAATAAATACAAATAATTTAGGCAACTGTTGCTCAGCAGCTCGCCAAACACCTCCTCCACTCCCTCCCACAGGCTCACATTTCAGCAAGGCTGTTTGCTTGCTTTCAACTCAGTATGTGACTTGCAGCTGAGATCTGGCCATGCCTCATATTGACAAATTCACTCTTTCAAAGACCCCTTTCAGATTTTGTATTAATTAACACTGGCTAATTCTTAGTTGTTGGGTTTGAGTCATGTCCTGCCAGCACCTCTGCTCTGGGAAATGGGTTAGCAGAGCTTACTTCCTGGAGCTGCAGTTTCTATCTCCCTGCTCAGCAGTTGGGAGTGCTCCCTTGGAATGAGATTAATTGTATCACACATCCCATGGGGGAAAAAACAAAACAAAAACAAATAAACACACAACAAAAAAACACAAACCAAAACGACAACTAAAAAAAAGGGACATTAGAAACATCTGTCTTTTTCGTTCTTCCACTTCCTTCCACTCCCTCTTTTCCCTTGTCTTTCCTTTCTGCTTTCTGTATAGCATGAGATACTGGCTTCTAGCTGCACTGGGGAGCAGTTCTGGCTCTTTTCTCCATTATAAACAATGAACTATTGCCACTGACTTTTTAAAAATGCTACAGAATACGTTTCATCCATCTCTTAATCACTGCTTTCCTCCTGTAAATGCCCACGGATAGTGACCTGAGAATGGGACATTCAGCAACTACCTTCGCTTCTTCTGCCATATGCTCCTCTCTTTGCAGCCAAACGCCCCGCTCCTGCTGTCACACGATGCAAAGCACACATTTTTTTCAGTTCCTGGAGGCCTTCTGCTGGAAGAGGTGTTTTTTCTCCTGCAGTTGGAGCAAATTCATCTTTTTGTTTATTCTTTGTTTAAAAACCAAAATGCTTACCTCCCAACCTGCTAAAGGAGAGATACAAAGTTCTAACCAAGCAGAGTGCAAATTGGCAGCAAAACATCTCCCTGCCAGGGCTCACGTAGAGCAGATATCTGCTTTACAGTTCAGAGAACTCTTTTAGTTTCACAAGTACGAAAAGATCTATAAAAAGAAGAGTGAGTAATTTAATCACTTGAGGAAAACTGACAGGTCATAATCTAAGGAAATTAAGCACCAATGGAAGATAAAAACCTCAAATACTGTCTCAGTCTGATCATATTGTTCAGGTCTGTGTCTATGTATTCTGCAGCGGTTACATGAATTTCAGCACTGATTATGCATTCTGTGTCAGAGTAAAAGAGCAGGCTCATTTTCCTATGTAGATGGTTTCTCTCTGGAGGAAGCAACCACTCCAGTTTTTGCAGTGAAGGAAACATAAGTATCTCTTGCTTTTAATGGGGTAATCAGTGTTTGAACACACTGAACACTAGCAAGGATGAAAGTCAGCTTTAAAAATGATTCCCAGGCTGTAATTCCACTGTCTTCTTTTGTGCCCTTTTTGTAAATGAGGAAAACACTGTCTGATTTCTAGCCAGTGGGAACTCCCCAGACTTCCAAGACCTTTGGCTTATAATTGAGAGGGGTCCTGCTGTAAAATCCACTAACTTGCTCTTGCTGTTGACATACTTAAAATAGCTTTCTTTTCTTGTCTGGCTCCACTCTGGGCAGTGTCAGTTCAAGTTGAGCTTTGGTTTTCCTTGTGTTCTCCCTAAAGATGTGAACTGCAGCTCTGTAAACTGTGAAGCCTGACCACATTTCCAGAGATCATATTTCTTCTTCCTGCCCACGTTCCAGGAGTTCCCTGCTCAGACAAGCTGGTCTTCTGCCCCACTTACTTGACTCAGAACACAACGGGAACATCTGCTCCTGGACTTTTAAAAGGTGGGGTTCTAAAGTGACCAGTTCTCATAGCCCCACTAAATCCTCTAGAGCAGATTCTCAGGGGACACTGCTAACCAGCTCCCTGACTAGTTTAAAGTTTGCTCTTTTAAAATATAAGGTAGCAATTCTGATGACCTTTTTTTCTCGTTACAGCAAGAATTTTGAAAATAACAATGTTGTAATCTCTGCTATGATCTAGCATCACCCCTCCAACAAGGCTTTTCTACTCTCAAGCAACAGATCCAGGAGGTCGCTTTTCCCAGTTGGCTCACTGAGTTCTTGTAACAAAGTTATCTTCAACATGTTCCTGACTTGCAGCAGTATATTCCGTTTATGTCACGGAAGTTGAAATCTGCCTTAAGCATAAGGGCTACTAATTCAGAGATTTCTCCTAACTGCCTGTAGAATAGCTCAAAAACTCAAAAATTTGAGTTTCTTTACCTGTCAAACTGATGGTAGTGAAAAGTTCTCCTAGTTCAGTGTGCTTTTGAAGGTCTTCAGAATACTAAAGATTCATTAATATTTCACTGGTAACCTGACCACATGCTGCCTCATCTCCAAGATGAAGCTGTCACTCTTGGTATGAGAAATGTTAAACAGAGATGGCAGAAGTGGCTAAAAATCATGGTCCTGAAGCTGAAAAACAAAGGAAGAGCCAATAGAGATGAGGAAGCAGACTCAGTATCAACAGAGATACTACACTGGACTTTTATCTGAATGACAATCATTCATGATGGTTCTTTTTGTCTTACATTACCCTATTTAGAACATTGACAACTGGGACAGAGTCATATATAAAAACACTGAACTTTTTAGACCATTTGCAATTCCTACAGGGCAGCTTGTGGCCAGGGAAGTCTAACTGGTCTGATGCATCTTCAGAGGCTCATGGTATTGGGAAGCAACAGAGTAGACCAAAGAGTGGGCACAATTACATATTTGGGGAATTATCTTGAGAGCGGCAAGGAGTATCTCATGTCAACATGAGGCAATCAGTATTGCTTTGTGGACAGTTTTACATTTGAAAGCATTTCTTTGGAGTTGATTGCCTTCGAAAGAAGGGCCCAGGAGTGTTTATTACCTGAATACTTCGCCTGTGAGCAAATGATTCCAGCTTGATACAGGAAACTGGGAAATAATACCAATGTATCCTGTGAAGGCAAGATACAAGCTGGCGTCTCTCTGCTTCCTTTTATCTGCTGATTGAAATTTGCATGGCCAGGAAAACAGGAACAGAGGAGATCCCAAAGCCAGAAGCTGTCACTTATTCTTTTACACTTTGTAGTAGCCACTGCCTAAGACTGTCTTATCTGTAAAGCTTATTAATCGTAATTAGCAAATTAGCCAATTTTAACAACAACTAATACTCTACTTGGAGGTAAGAAAGCTCTCAATAAATTGATGTGTTTTATTCCTCTGAGTCTTGGATGACTCCATTATGGTAGCAACCTCTAACAGCTAGGGGAGGAACTACTCTGGACAGAGGAAAAGATGCACTTCCCCTGAAACCTACTGTGTGGTATAAGACAGGAAAGTATTCACTTACATGTCAAAGCAGAAATCTGTCCTGGTCTCCAGTTTTCTTGTTCCAGTAAAACTATGAAATTGCTTAAAGAAATGAAACCATGAAATTGCTTAAAGAAATGAATGACAGAAAAAAAGGGATGGGAGGCAGGGTGGGGGGACTGCGTTCTGTTTAAGGTGCAATCAAAGCACCTGTCAGGCAACGTATGTGTCTGATAAAACTGATTGCAACACCCAGTAGGTAAGATTGCAAGGTATTTCTTACCTGAATAACTATGAAGGCACTGCACCTACTCTGGGGATGTGTAGTTATGTAGCTAACGTGAAATGACAATTCAAATTAAATGAAATGGGATGCTTGTAGCATTTCTAACATGCATAGCTAGAAAATGAAAACTTTCCAGCATATTTTAAAGGCTAGAGCAGAGGCCAGCTCTGTTCTGACACAGCATGTAATACCAAAAAGGTTGATCTAAGCTTACCAGCTACTTTCCTCAGAGAAAAAAAAAGCCTGCAGAACAAGATCCATACAGAAGTTTCAGTACAAACAAGAAGCTGCTGGCCATCCTGCATGTAACGACCACCCTGACTCCTAGCTCTTAGCCTTCCTGAGTGCAGTATGTAACTGTTGGAAGTTATTAGAGATAAAGGCATGACAGGATAACAAATCGTACTGGAACCAAATGCCATTTCAAGTTTAATCACCAACTAAGTATCACTAGGATGGAGAAGAGACACTGAAGAGCAGAATTGCTACAGTCCCACCTCATGAACAACTCTGCTGTGAGACTGCCCTCCTCATGCAGAGTTCAGGCCCAGTGCAATGAGCCAATAACAGAAAATAAATGTGAAAATCCTCTTGACATAGATTTTTCCCCTGCAGATAGATTTGCCACTAACCAGAACCAATTTTTTTTTTCTTTCTTTTTTTTTTTTTTTTTTTTTCAGTTTTTCTGCAAAAACTCTTCAAGAACTGTTGAAGAGGGATAACAGCAATTGAACAGTGGGCACTGAATGGATCTGGTCATCCACCACAACTCTTCCTCTTTCCTCTATTGCTTTAAACTAATCTTCATGCAGCCTGTCACACACTTCTTTCTATCCAAAGGCTTATAAACCACTAGGTGTTATTAGGAGAGAGCTACAGAGACACAAAGGGAGCTGTGGATAAGGTTTAATAAGCCACATCACCATGGCAAAATGCATTACACACCTGATTATAGAGGAAGGCAGGTAAAGAAAAAAAAAAGAAGTCTTTTAACTAACAGTACTCACAATAGCTCTTGCCAGTCTGGCATGGGGCAAAATTAACACCATGCCTCATTTGGTGTTTGGTTAATGGTGAGCAGAGACACACATCAGAATTTTTCTGAAATGCAACAGAAGGAGTCTTCTGTCCACATGAATTCTGGGCTTTCTTGAAAATAATGATTTTTTAAAAGTAAAGTCCAGATGTCTCTCAGATTTTGTTAGTTTTGAATTAAAGAGTTCTAAACATGTTCCAGTTCACCTTCCTTAACCTACCCTCTCAGAAGTACCTGTGACATGTGAAGGCAGCCAAGCACCCAGTGCAAATGGGGAATGAAAAGGGAGAAGAGTAGATAAAACTCTCACTGCTTCCAACACTTCTTGCAGTGGCAAGGCAACAGCAGACAGCTTGGATGCACAGAATCCCTCCTCTCCTAATCATCTTCAAATACTCTGTCACTTTCTTGTCTATTCATTTTGATTTAATTCTCTTTTCTGGCATGTTTTATTGTAACTGTATGCTTCTATCAGTTACACCAAGCACAAGGACAGAATAATATCAAAATCTGATGTCAAGAGTTCCCTAGTCCAAATGATCTCCCTTATGTATCTTCTAATAGGTTACTCAGAGCAGTATTTTATCCCACAAAAAGCAAGTGCTGCTGCTTTTTCTATGTGTGACCTACGGATTGATCCTTTGAATAGCCATGTGTGCAGGAAGTATCAGCTCTCATCGCCTGATAGCCTTCCTGTGATTCACTGTACTAAAAGGCCATTTCTGGAAGCCCTGGCTGACAACTTGATGAGAATAGGAAATTCTGGAAACAATTAGTCAGTGAGCCAAAGGGCGCCACAACCATAACTAACAAAAAAGCTCTGCCCTTCTTTGGCAATTGCACTCAAAGACTCTTCAAGTACTGAATATATCATAATTAATTGTATCTCATGCCCGCTCACCTTCCCTCACAAGGAGGCAATTACTTTTGTATCACAGACAACCTGTGGTATCTAGGAGTGAAGGACTATGCTCAGTGGATGTGTCTAACAGACTGTGACAAAGTACTTCTTAGGGCCAGTTCTTTTCAATGTTTTTATGAATGATTTGGATGCAGGATTTGAATGCACGTTGAGTAAATTTGCACATTATACTAAATTAAGAGGAGCTGTTGGCTCCTTTGAGGGTAGAGAGGCCTTGCAGAGAGATCTTCACAAATTAGAGGGCTGTGCAATCACCAACTAGGTGAAATTTAACAAGAGCAAGTGCTGGATTCTGCACCAGAGAGAGGGCAACCCTGGCTATATGTAAGACTGAGGAAGGCTGGAGAACAGCTCTGAAGAAAAGAGTCTGGAGGTTCTGGCTAGCAGCAAGTTGAATGCAAATCAGCAGTTTGTTAATTTCCAGTTCTGACTTCTTTAGCTCACTAATTGGATCTGGTTGAGATACCACAGTCACTATGGATTGGGGTCACTGATTTTTCACAAAAGTGTTTCAAAGCTCTGACCTTAATTTCTGTTAGCAGTTGTCAGCATCAATAGTTCACATTTGCCCAAGCAGAAGCAGTACTTAGGTGCCCATTTTAAACATAGGACATGTTGCTTAATAGAAAGGCCTTGACCTTTTAAGGATGTCATATAGCTTACCATTTAATAAGATATGCCTTTAATTTTTCCTGTGAACATCCACTTCAGCCCGTGCTTTAAGAATAATTATAAATATACAACTCCTCGCAATATTCTCCTTGTGGTTTTGAAATACAATGTTTATGTACTTACCATCATGCCTTTTTTAGTTCAGGTCTGCAGCTCAGGGGATGTGATGGTAGCATGAGGCATTATTGGGATTCAAGTTTAGGTCTATCAGTTTGGCTAGCAGACGTGAGCAGGTGACTGGACTCAGAAAGATGACCTCTTCCACACCTGTTCTTGTGAAGATGTAGCATGCAATGAAGAGCAGAGCCAAAACATGCTCTCTGCTCCTCTGAATGCTGTTCATCACAGACTGCCAAGCACAGTTTATTCAAACAATGTTTGTTTCCTTTCACCTGAGAAACTAGGGAAGTCTCTTTAAGACATGAAACCCCAAAATCTTGGGATTCAACCCACAGAAAAACATGTGACACATCTCCATTTCCCCTTGACACTAATCATATTTACTCCCCATACTGAGATCAGTCACCATGCGTGATATGTAAAGGGACAAGGAAAGCCTGAAAGACTCTTGAAAAAAGATTTCATCAGCACCAGGAGCTTAAGGAATTGCTGGCAGTCATCTAAATATCCCCTCCCCATCACTGTATCTAGAACTTGTAATTTTTTTACCATTAAGACTTATTGCTGGTAAGAAAATAAGACAAATATTACTGACAAAAGTCCCCAATTGAAGTTTTCTCTCATAGCTTTTTTTGTTGGTTTGTTCTTAACCTTCTGATGTTAATATTTCTGGGGTGGGGGAAGTGGGGAAGAGAAAACAACCTGAAATAAAGGACAAACTACAAAGCAAAAAAAGTTACTAACCTTATTCCATTTTCTGGGAACTTCAGGATACAGAGATCCATCTGTGAGCCATCTGACAATAATTATCAAAAGTATGTAAACTGTAACAGAAAACAGTACTGCCAATGGCCACCCCATAGTTCCAACAAGACTAAAAAGATAGAGGATAAATATGATAAATGCATCTATACGCGGGAGTTCAAAACTTACCTCTAATGACAACAGGTCTATCCTGAAGCATTTCTCTCTTTAAAAGCTGTATCTGCCCTTTAAAGAAAAAGAAAGGAAAGAATTAATTTCACAAATGATTAATAGTTCAATGCAGTAGCCTATTAATGGATGTGTAATTGACTAATAATTGCAGACCTCTCTATGCCTCTACTTAAATTAAATCTGCCACCCAATCCATCAAGTTTGTTTACCGAACATGTTGTAGACTGAACAGTTATCTAAATGCTCCTCCAGCAGGAAAAGGGGATCAGCAGAAAAAGGGGATCAGCAGACTTTGGTCTTTCAGAACATCAGGAGCACTGGAGCCTAACTGGTTCAGCTACTCCTCTTATTCAGTGTGAACTGCAAGTGCGTCAGCTGATTTAATTCTGCACAGCTGGTATAGCACAACCAAAGGGGCAAAAGAAGCTGACCTTATGTACTGTCCTGGCCATCCCAACACCCAGCAGTGTTTGTGGGATGTTTTCTAGGAACAAGTTCTGCACATGTTCTCAAGGGACAAACCCAATTTAAAATGGGAAACTTTCACAAGGTTCAGGTCTTTGCTTTCCCCTGACTTCACGGTTCAGCGAAGGGGATGGTGGAATGGTACAGGTGGTAAGGAATTGAGTTGCGAAGTAGGAAATCTGTAGCATGCTTCTTGATCTTCTTTTAAACTGCTTGCCTGACCTGCTAAATCCATTTTTGCTCCTGTCCAGCTCCTAATGTTAGAGTCTAGGATCCTCAGATAGAACATCAAACCAGACAGCACCTAGCAAAGTATGGCCCTTCTCAGTTTGGTCCTTTTGCAAAATTAAGCACGCACCCGCTACAAAAGGGTGTATATTTACAAGAAAATAGATGTAGAAATATTTGTCTCCTTGTTTGTTCCTGTGACTATCCTTATGATTCTGAAGCAAACCATGACCGTACAGACATACTGTGCTCTGATCAACCTATCTTCATTTAAACAGAAACAAGAACATTAAAGCAGATTGAGACTTTCAGTTGAGAGTGGTGTTCTGACACTGCTCCACATACAATTGGTGAACCTCAACCTACCTTTCTCCGAGCAAGATTTAAGTAGGGGATAACTCCGCAGTTTGCCATTGTTCTTTCCCCTTCCTGGAGGTGTTTCAAGCCAGGTTGGATGGGATCCTGGCCAATCTGACCTAGTACTTGATCTAGGGGTTTGCAACTTCATGGTTGCAACTACATGATCCTTGAAGACACTTCTAACCCAAGCTGTTCTACAATTCTATGAATCCAAGGCTTGAGGCACTAAAAAAACACTCACCAGTACTGCAAGTGGTCTTAGTTTGAAAGTCTGGCACGTTGGCTTTGCTAGGTAAGGCGGAGCAAGTTTCACTGCATGCAAGCTCATACTAAGATCTGGCTCCAGAAGGTTTTAGTCCAGAAAAGACAGCCCCAAACCAGCTCCATAGGCAGATGTCCGACAAAGTGCAGATAATTAAGGACATCACTTCCATAAATGAAATGAATAGTATGAGAAGAAAAGCACCTAATCTTTTTCAGTGCTTTAATGAAATGATTCATCATATACCTCAGGGGTGTCTCCTATTGCTTTGGAATAAGGAGAGAAAGCAGGAATCCTTACACTGTCTTCCTGTTATTCAACTGTACCCTCAATACAGGATTGCCTCAAGCAATAAATCCACGTGCTACAAGTACAAGTGGTCCTTTTGTAGCTTACAGACCCATCCTAGTACAGCTTGAAGGTTTAACAGGAGGCACTTCCTGAAAGTAGAATGTGATCACCCTGGAGAACAGCTGAGAATTTCAGTCTTCTTATTTTTCTCCACCCCACCAGTCCATCAGTCTTGTTTCTTAAGGTAATTTAACCTCTCTCAAAAAGTACTAAATCTTCTCAGTAGCTAAAGAGAGCATCTGAAGAGGAAGAAAATGAATTTCAGTGAAAATTCAAAGGCAATGCTGACTATTTGCTAGGAGAATACCTGTGTGTACCTCCAGCTAGATACCTCAGCCAGACACAGAAGATTTGCTGGCCTTAGTAGCAGCCTGCTAGCAGCTGTGAAGCAACAGATAATTCAGGCAGGCTTGTTCTCTGACCCATTTGTTTTTCCTTTCCTCATTATCTTTAGCAGTTTTAAGGACTGTGGGCTTTGGCAGACTGTCAAAGGTAGCTGAAATTTTTCTGAATTTTCATGCTTTTGAGGTTTATTCTCTCAAATGAACTTTAATGAATGTGAAAAGGGCTGCCAAAGTCTAGCACTAGGAATGGGGTAGGAAAGGATGTGTGGTGCTGTCTGTTTGTTTTTTTTGTTTTTTTTTTTGTTTTGGAAATAGCTGACTTTCCAGAGCAGTGCCAGCTATGGTGGGATGGATCCATTTGAAGCTGCAACCTCTGCATATCTCAGCCATGAGATCACTCTTCTGAAGATCAAGGGGCAATGCACAGGGGCAGTAACATTCAAAACCCCGGATAGGTAGGATCAAGATGTTATAATTTCCAAATAAGTCTCTAACTTTATAGAATATCCTGATATGGTACGTCACTTAATTAAGCTAATCATAAAATCCCAAATATGTACCTGTTAATATGCAAAAATCCCTATTTCTATTCAGTCAATGTAAAACAAACATTCCTCATTGCTACCCCAATGCAAACAGAAAAGATTCTCGCAAAGAAATTAATCCAACAATTCACTGTAAGTTACATTTGTGTACATAGGTAAGATCCTGGATCCGTGTAGCCAGTTGAAATCCAAGTATTTATTGGTTGCTTAATCTCAATACTGCAGTTTCTAATAACTGGTCTTATCAAACTCATGTGGCACTGCATGTGGGCCTGACTGTTACAAGACAGCCTAACATTGGAGGTAGCTTTTACTACATTTCCCCACTGCATCATGTTATTTATTAAAGACAGCGCAGCAAGAGTCAATAGTTCCCAGGATGGCTTCTTTTAACTGGTTTTCCATGTATCTTTTTTTTTCCCCTTGGATACAGGGTTTCTGTAACTTCACTTTCTGTCAGTTTCCCTTTCCTTTTAACCTTGGGATCAGTTAGCAAACATCAACCAGATTTAATGGAGAAGTAGTACATAAAGTCTATATTGAGTTCTGCAGAAAACAGGTGACAAGACAGAGGAAAACACGTTTCCCAGAAAGAAGAGTAGTGTGAACTCAACCATGAATCAGCAGCAGAAAAATCAGATAGGCCTTAGTTAAGACAATATGCAGTAAGGCAGGTATTGTTGGGTCCACAACTCCTGGAAATATTTGCAGCTTTTTCTCAGTTGAGTATACTCAGAGTTACTCATGGGCAGGTAATTGAATTCCTGTCTTAATGGGACTTAGCAAGTGTGACTGGTACCCATCTGCACCTGATCCCTGGCAATATGGTTAGCACAACCAGAAAGAAAGTGAAATGCACAATAAGTAAGCAGGCTGTTAGTGTGTCCCTCTGTCTCTTTCTCTCTTTCTCCCCTCTCTTGCACCAGGGTTTGGGGATACCCTCTGAGAGAGTGACAAGGCCATTAGCATTATTGAGAACCAGGTGCTGGTAACCAGGTAACTGTTAGTCATGTTAGCATGACCAAATCCTAAGCTTTCAAGACAGATTAGTACAATATCCAGAGTAAGTCTACCCTGTATTCAACCATTAGACATAGATTTAGACATACCAGTATGGCTCTCCAACTTGAGAAATCTGAAATTTAGTAATATGATTCATCTCAATTTGGCAAATAAATCCATGTTGAACTACTGGAATTTCTCACAGGATAGAAATTCAGAATTTCATTCATCTCTAATGAATAATTAATTGCTAAACTAATTAAGCATTAAAATCCATAATGAGCTGGAAGAACTGACACATGTAACCACCATAAAATGTTTTGTGATTGCAGCTGCCTGTCACCATGATTGGCAGCTGCTGTTTGCAACTTCTGTGACTCAAAAAAAGTCATGCTGTCTCTTTTCGTCTTGTCCTCTGACTCTCGTTTGCTGCCTATGCAATTCTAGAACCTATTGGAAAGAGGTCGTATAAGTGTTAGTTATGATACAGGTTATAAATATGTGACAAAAATTTAGTACTCTGGGTCAGAAGCTCACCGAAGGCTATAATCAATAGGTCCTTTTCAGCATTATTAACCTTTGAGTGAAAGCCCAGCTACAGTAAAATGAACTTCGCTCAATTAGCAATGAAGAGCAAACATCACGTTCCTGTGGAACAGGCCGAACGAGCCTGTTCTGAGTGAATTCTGTTTTTGAGAGCACAACTAGAGGTTCCATTAGCCCATGAGAGACCAACAAACACAGTTAAAAAGCTCAACAGAAGCTGAGATGAATAGTTATGTCACCATGTGTTAACTAAAGCCTCCAGCATCAACGAAAATGGTAAAAAAATATGATGGCTAAGTAGTGAAGTTTGATCAGATTTCAAATGCATCTCCCAGGAGTAAGCCACACTGAAAAGGCAGCAGACAAAATGTCTTTTATAGATGCCTGGCCAAAAGAATTTGGTAGTTAGTTATAGTATGCATATTTGCAAAGCTTCTGCAGGGAAAAGCAATATGGATACAGTTTTGTAGACACAATTTACTTCAAAAGCCAAACTCAAATGATGTCTTTTACTGTACAACAGACAGCAGCAAAAAGGGTGATATTCAATGCCTATTTTTTACAAATCTTAGCATCAGAGTTCCAAGATACTATTTGGTGAAGCTATTGTAGCAATAATTCTAGATCGAATAGCTCTTGGATATACAACAGAAAGTGTTGGTACTTGCTACTCCTTCAGCTTTACAGAACCTACACTCTGGAGACAGACTCAGTTTTCTGAGAATTTCCTTGTAAATCTTCTAATTAGACTCTAAGTTAAAATACTTTTCATTTAAGGTATTGTTTGCCTTTATTTTGATTCAAATTACTTTAACAGTAAAACACACTTAAATCTTTTCATTCTTTAAAAATTCAGTGAAACTCAACAGACAGGATGTATTTGGGAGAAAAGTCTGTTGTAATGAAAAAAAAACGATTTAGATTCAGTGAGAAGAAATCTGCTCAAGAGCTCAG